TTGAATGAAGGTGATATAAGTTTTTATTTAGTTTTATTTGAGAGACAGGCACGACGTATTGGGTTAGAAGAACAAAACTGGGTTTCTCAGCTGTTGGGTCTATTGCCTTATGAAATAACTCAATTAATTGCCCGTGAATCAGAAGAGAAAAAGCTAACGACTATAAGCACGTTAAGCAACTGCTACTGAGAAAATTTAAGTTAAGCCCTGAACAGTTTCGGCAAAAGTTCGTTGATCATATTAAAACGTTGCGTAATACGTGGAAGGACTTCACGTTTGAATTAAAAAATTATTTTGAAGAGTGGCTTGCTGGATTAAATGTAACAGATTTTGACTCTTTAAAACAACTTATTATTACTGATCAATTAAAGAAAAGGGTCCCCGCTGCTATCCGAGACCATTTCATTGATGATTGGTCTAAATTCATTAATCCTGAAGAGTTGGCTGAAAAACTAGATGAATATGAAAATATTCGGGCAGGGATAAAAGTACTTCAAGTAGAAAATAAAACTTTTAGGCATAATTCTAAGCCCAAATCTGGTTCTAAATTTTATGAAGGATCCTATAATCAGTATTCAAGACAAAGAAATGTTAACGATTCCATGCAGACAGATGGTAATTTCAAAGTGGGTTTTAAAAACAGTTTTGATAATAAATACAATCTGAGAGATAAATTTTATAAAACAGACGAAAGGAAAAGGGAATATAATTCTGGCATCCGCAATGAAAAGGGTGAGCCGAAATGCTTCAATTGTAATGATTATGGACATATAGCGACGGATTGTCCTCAGCCTAAAAAAGAAATTATTTGCAGGAAATGTAATGAAAAGGGTCATACTTTTAAAAAGTGTACGTCTAAGAATCCAGACTTGACAAATGTTAAAAATAATTTATCCGTGGACCAGAATTCAGGTGTTTCACCAGCTGTATATTTAAAGTATGCTCGCATCAATAATGGAGAAGAAATTACTGCAATCATAGATACGGGTTCTAGTTCGTGTTTATTGAAACAGTCTGCGGCTAAGAGACTGAATCTTATTATAAAACCTGATGTGGAGGAATTGTTTGGCTTTGGGAACCAGAATAAACCAGCCGCTAGAACATTGGGAAAAGTAACTGTTAACTTAGAGATTGATAATGTGGAAGGAAAGGACATTACAGTTCTAATTGTAGGAGATGAAACGCAACCATGCGACTTATTAGTTGGTCGAACATGGATTGATTTACCACATATTGCATACGCCAAGATAGGTAATACCTTGCACATACGCTATGCTAATGACTGCCCATTTTCACAGTTGCAAAATGATAGCAACACTCCGCGAATTAAACTGAAGGCTTCCCAAGAAACTCAAATCGAAAGTAATACGGTTAATTTCGTGAAAGTTAAAACTGATGAAATAAATAACGGTTATGTTTTAATAAGTGGATCGGAAGATGAGTTGGGCTCATTATTGGAAGTAATACAGGGAGAAACAGTGATACCAGTCACTAACTACAGCGATCGAAAACTAATTTTGAAAGAGAATCAATGTATCGGTAGAGCGGAAGTAGCAGAATTAGTTGAACCAAGTTCAGATCAGAAAACTGAAAATTCAAGTCAAATAGAAATAATGATAATAAATGAAATTAAGAAGTTTAAGAGAGGGATTACTTTAGAAGAAATTAAAGTTAATAACAATATTACGCGAGAGAGAAAACAGGAAGTTTTACATTTGATAAATGAGTATCGAGATTGTTTTGCATTAAATATGAAGGAATTTCGAGAGTACTGTCAAAATAATGGAATCAGTCATGCACTCAATTCAACTCAACATCCAAGTGGTAATGGAATGGTGGAAAGAGCAAATCGAACAATTTTGGCTACGATTAAAACGAGTATGGAAAATCCGAATCAGAGAATCACCAAAATTTAACGACGGATTGATGAGGATGCTTACAGATGAAGACGCAAATGAATGGGAGAATTCAGTAATCTTACAGAATGAAGCTAGAAAGAGAACTGAAGATATGCAGATGAAAATGAAAGCAAATTATGACAAGAAGAAAAGTAATTCTTTAACATTCGAACGAGGAGAAATAGTAGTTATGAGAAGAGTACCGAAATCAACTGGAGAATCAACAAAAACACAACAAAAGTATCGAGGAGACCTTTGGTAGTTACAGAAGTTTTACCAAGTGATACCTATAGAGTGACTCAATTAGAAGAGAAGGTGAAAGGACATTTCTTTAGTATGGCAGCTCATGTGAGCCAATTAAAGTCATAGCAGTGTCAAGCTGAATCAGAAAAAGACGATGATGATGGTAATGACATTAGAGTTACTGGAGATAACGATAACAACACGCCGCATATTACTAAACTAGGACACGGAAAAAGAATAGAAAACGACGGTGAATCTATAATTACAGCTAAAGACTTTCGAACTATAAACATTAATATTACAGATTTAATTTTTTTAAATATAAGTTCTTAATGTTCCGAGGTCGTAACTAAGTCAGGATGACCGAAGTAAACGCGACGTATTAATTTTATTTAAAATGTATTTTCCTGATTGGCAACAATAGTTTTTTTAGAACGGTAATAATTTGAAATGTAATGTTTTTGAGCAGTAATGTTGACAGTAATGTTTCTGAATAAAGCAAGTTTCTAACAATTAATGTTTCACAGAATGTGTTTTTAATAAAGGAACTAATTAATTGCTAACAGAAGTATTTGCAAATAACAAGAATACACCTTTAATCTTAATCCTAATCCCTAGGAAATTATTGTGGCGGTTACCATATCAAGAATTAAGTTAGATAAGAGTTAAAAGAATTAAGATTTGCAAGAAACGATTTTGCACTCGCTGGAAACAGGAGGAGCAGATTTGAAGGCCAACGCATAGCTCAAAAACATTTAAAGATATTTAAAGGATCTTATTAATCTTGAACATCGTGGTATCACTAACATTCGGAACAAGGTCGCGAAAGATGAAGTCATAGATAACATTCTGCGTTATTTAAAGTGTACAAATAAATGCATAGAACCACCAAAAACTTGCATGGTTTAATATTAAACAAGGTGTAGAACTTTAGGAGGAGATGTTGAAATAGGGTGTCTTTGAGATCTTGTGTGTCCACGAAATTAATAATGTAGGAGTTGAGTTATCAGTAAAAGTTGGTTTGATGCAGTATAAAACACAATGTCCATATATGAATTTATAGACAGGGGATTGTATTACGGGGTACTGAAGTTCACTGCTCAAAACAATTAGGATATATTGTAAGTTCGATATGATATAACCATATAATCGACAGCGTTTTTGACAAAAATGAAATAGAAGAGGTTCAGAAAGGAAATTATAACGTTGGGAATATGCAAATTTTGTCTGTAACGTCAAAAATTAAGCGTATTAGATAAGAAGTGAAAAGTTAACTGCAGTATTCCTTCTGTAGGAGCAGATTAAACAAGTGCTGAATTTTATAACAATGCATACGATGTCTCAACAAAATGAGTTAGCGGAATCGATACACGGACGGTGGACAGCCGTCTATCGTTTACAGACGGGTAAAATATAATTCGTTGTAACGAAAGTGTTAGAAATTCCTCACTGTCATTTCCAGACTATGGAATTGATTTTTTTGCTGTGGGCTACATCTCTCTAAGCTGCTGCTATGCTAAGATGGAAATGTTTGAGTCGATGTACTTTGTTGCTCATTGTTGTGCCAAAGTTTCACTTATATTGTAAATAATATAACAAGATAATGATCACCTTCATTGGATCCAGAGGCTCTCAACCAGGAAAGAATTCCTCCTGGAGGGGCAGGATGTTATCAACATTTTATTTACCTGTCAAGTATTTAGTTTTATTTCATGAACATAAAAATTGTATTTATTCAAGTTTTGGTATTTATCAATATATTTTATGATTAGTTTGATTTATATTATCTTATTATTATAATTTATAAAATACATTGAAAATGACGTACTTTTAAATAAATGTGTAGGTATTTTTCGAGTTTGGAAATACGGGGATGATCGTCAAGAAAAGCAATAAGGAATGCAAGGAGGAAAAACGTTTGAGAACCACAGATTTAATCTTTATTTAATATTATTTATATATTGTTTAATTTCGTTTAATCTATATTTAGACTTCATCCCAAGTCTCAAAATGTCTGCACCAACTTTAAACTTGAATTTATTATATACATTTTCTACATCCTCCCATTCTCATTCCTATGCAATTCATACCGTAATGAATCTCACATATTCGTTTATTTTATTTGTTAAAGAATCTGGGCTTACTAGTAGTTACTTAATCTGATACACTAAAGTATTTAATTTGGCACTTCAATCTGTTCTTAGCTGTTACTTAAATTGACAAACTCAAGCTGCAAGATTAATTTCCTCGTTGAACAAATTTTGGGCAAAAATAAAATGAGACAAATTGTTTTTTATGTTTCCTATAAAATCATTTCTAAACAAAAACAAAAATCATAATTTTGCTGAATGTTGCTACATTCACGTAAATTTAGAAGAATAATAAGATATAGCATTACAAATTTAAAATATATTGTGTATAGCTAGAGTCTACCATCTATAGGATAATCTCTACCGATTTCTTTTTATAATGATTTTTCCTCTTACACTAAATTAATTATTTGAAAATTGAATATATTTATATTCATAGGGATATAACCTCGTCTGATGTAATATTATGACAATTCTTGATACTTGATTTTGATGTTAAATGAATGCTGTAGTAAAAAACTGCAAAATTTGAATTGTATTTTCTCTTATTATAAAAAATTATGGTCATCGTGCATAATTTAGTAAAGATTCTAAGAAACGGGTGTAAAATTTGTCATGTTTGATTTCTTACATCCTTATACATCCCAAAGAAAATGTAAAAGCTCAAATTGTTTGACTGAAATTTGTGCTGAATCCGAATTATAGGAACAATTGAAATGTATACATGCAAAAAACATAGAAAGGTTTTACATTAATTTAGAAATAATACCTCTTTCGCAAAACGTTCCTTCATATGGTTTCACACAGTTACATTTAAGGACTCCATTAACAGTTTCACATGTACCACCATTTTGGCACGGATTCGTCTTGCAAAGATCTAAAAGAAATCAGGAAGCTACATACATAAGATTAAAGGTTTTCAACGCATGTCCTAATTACCAATTGAAATACTGTTATTGGAAATCGTTACCATTTTCGCAGTTTTTCCCTGAATATGGAGATTTACAGGAGCAGTTATATCCGGTGCTTATCATGTTACATTTCCCATAATTCTTACAAGGATTTGGATTGCATGGGTCTGCAAAAAAGGAAAGTAAGAAAACTAACAGCATAATCAAGAAGAAAAAACGATTTAGGTATTTATCTGCCGTGAGAAAACTTAACTACATCATGAAGTGATTTTATTAAACTGGTACCTTTTTCACAAAAGTTTCCTGAATATGGCTTCACACATTTACAGTTAAGAACTCCATTAATAGTCTCACATGTCCCACCATTTTGGCATGGCTTCTCCTTGCAAAGATCTATTATTAAAAAAGAGACAGAAAGTTTCAAATATGAATTTCCCGTCTTTCTTTTAAAGGTGTCTCCTATTTAGAAGTTTCACTACTCTTATTCGAAAGAGTTACCTTTTTCGCATTTGCTTCCTGAGTATGGGGATTTACAGGAGCATTTATATCCGGTGTTGGTCACATTACATTTCCCATCGTTCATGCAAGGATTTGGATTGCATGGATCTGGGAAAAATTAAAGAAAGAAGATTAAATGCATTATCGAGAGAGAAAAAACATAAGTATTTACATGCTGTGCATAAATTTCAATGAAGACAATCTTGAAGTGAATTTCCTAAACTGATACCTTTTTCACAAACTTTTCCTGAATATGGCTTCACACATTTACAGTTAAGAACTCCATTAATAGTCTCACATGTCCCACCATTTTGGCATGGCTTCTCCTTGCAAAGATCTATTATTAAATAAAAGATAGAAAGTTTCAAATATGAATTTCCCCTCTTTCTTTTAAAGGAGTCTCCTATTTAGAAGTTTAAGTACTCTTATTCGAAAGAGTTACCTTTTTCGCATTTGCTTCCTGAGTATGGGGATTTACAGGAGCATTTATATCCGGTGTTGATCACACTACATTTTCCATCGTTCATGCAAGGATTTGGATTGCATGGATCTGGAAAAATGAAAGAAAGAAGATTAAATGCATTATCGAGAGAGATAAAACATAAGTATTTACATGCTGTGCATAAATTATAATGAAGGCAATCTTGAAGTGATTTTGATAAACTGATACCTTTTTCACAAAATTTTCCTGAATATGACTTCACACATTTACAGTTAAGAACTCCATTAATAGTCTCACATGTCCCACCATTTTGGCATGGCTTATCCTTGCAAAGATCTATTATTAAAAAAAAGACAGAAAGTTTCAAATATGAATTTCCCCTCTTTCTTTTAAAGGTGTCTCCTATTTAGAAGTTTAAATACTCTTATTCGAAAGAGTTACCTTTTTCGCATTTGCTTCCTGAGTATGGGGATTTACAGGAGCATTTATATCCGGTGTTGGTCACATTACATTTCCCATCGTTCATGCAAGGATTTGGATTGCATGGATCTGGGAAAAATGAAAGAAAGAAGATTAAATGCATTATCGAGAGAGAAAAAACATAAGTATTTACATGCTGTGTATAAATTTCAATGAATAGAATCTTGAAGTGATTTTGATGAACTAATACCTTTTTCACAAACCTTTCCTGAATATGGCTTCACACATTTACAGTTAAGAACCCCATTAACACTTTGACTGCCATGGTTATCATATGTGATATCCAGTGATATTTCCGTTGAGACACTGGCTATCCGATATGATAGCCATGGTGTTTCAACACTTCAGGCCATGGCTATCAAATATGTTATCAGTTACATGAAAATCGTATTGGAGCTATTGTTGGGCGCCCTACGATGTGTTAGGTATACGTGGTTTGCGCAAATTGGTATATGTGACGATTTTATGAGCTAAGTTTTATGAAAAATTAAATATTTGGAACATGCAACAAAAAAGGGAATATATATAAATAGAGAGAGAGTATGTGATAAATATATATAAAATATATGATAAATACATATATTTGCAATTTGTGAAAGTAAAAAGAATATAAATACATCATGTTATTGCCTTTATTTCAGGATAAAGTTACATTCAGTGTTTAGCATTGAAGCAATTACGACACATTTGAGGCTGGTCAGGACAATTGTCACAGTATGTGGAAGTTAGTTTTGCTTTTTTTCTGGCTTGTTCACGACCCTCTGTCTTAGAAATATTGATATAGCATATATGGCATTTACGTCGTACCTTTTTACCATTTTCATGGATCCTATCAATCAGGTGGTGCGTTTTTTTACTTGTTTGCTCATTACGATCAGGATCTATAGCCATACCAAGCAACTGGAAAACTAATCTCTCTCTAAATTTACGAATTTTCATTTTGGATTTTGTTACATGTCGATATACAACCCATGCGTTAACTACTGCAACGCCTAACAACAATTCTAATCCTAGTTTTCTGTACCACTTAACACCTTTTCTTAGTGTTGTGGCATAAGCCCCCATCTGATCTGACAAATCTATGCCAGCTTTGCCTTTATTGTATGCCAATATGGCTTCAGGTTTTTCTAAAGCCCTTCGATATTGTCTATTTGTTTTTGTGCTGGTAGATGGTTGTTCAGATAATAAGTTGGTTGAGGGTATGACTGCAAATTGATTTGCGCTGGTTGATGGCATGCTTTGTAGAAGGCTTTGGCTTGTTGAAGTAGTTGCAGCATGTTGATTTGTATTTTTCCCTTGCTCCATTTGCAATGCTCGTTTTTTCCTAGGTGCAACTGGAACAAATATAGGTGCATGTTTTGTGCTCAATATCCGAACATCACGGGTGTCCTTCCATTTTAACACAACAATGCCATTCTCGTCTTCTCTGGAAATCATTTCTCCTTTCTTTAAGTTTGCTTGGAGGACTTCCTTTGGGATATCTCTTTTATTTGCTCTTAGTGTTCCAACAACATGCGTTTTTTTATCTAGCAAACACTTTACCAAATCATAACTAGTATAAAAATTGTCTATATAGAGAGTTCTGCCTTGATTGAGAAGTAATTCCGCTAGTTCCAAACACACACTTTTTACTAATCCGGTTTCACGCTCTCCAGATGCAGACTTTCCAGTATAGACTTTAAGACCCCATGTATATCCATCAACTGAACACAGCTTGAACAGTTTGACTCCATAACGATGGGATTTATTTGGAATATATTGCCTGAAAATTAGGCGCCCTCTCCATGGAACAAGAGTTTCATCTATAACGAAATCTTCTCCCGGGTAAAATAGGGCTTTGAACTTTTGTTGTAGCATGTCAACTAGGTGCTGTATTTTTCGCAGCCTGTTACTGGTATCGCTCGTTTCATTTTTATCAAAATGAAGCATAGTTAGTAATATCTGAAAACGATTTCGTGGAATTGTCATGTTGTAGACTCCATTTTGTGACCAATAGTCTTCCAAACGACCTAGTGGTACCAAACCCATCCACATCATCTATCCTAAGAATTTTTTCATTTCTTCATGATTTGTTTCATTCCACCGATTTATCCTGGAATGCTTCAATTTTGGTTGTGATGAAATAATTTGCCCTGCATATCTGTTTGTTTCAACAACAATGTGGTTAATGATCTCTTCATCAACAAGTAGTAAAATATATCCAATGGTGTGCTTTGTTGTGAAATGTCTGATTGCAAACCATGCTTTCCGATAAACTCAAACACTTTTTGTCTGCCCACATATTCTGTCCATCCATCGGTGGTCATTATATTATTCTCCTGGTCATAACTGTCGGGTAGGTCTGTCAAATCCTCAAATTCTTCATCAGATACCACAGCTTGAATAACGTCTTCAATAACATTATCAATATCATCGTCCATATCAGTTTCGTCAGATGAGCTTTCAGGGGAATACGCAGGATCCGCGTCAGAATCAAATAAATCAAAGTCTTCATCATCCCATGAATCATAGCATCTCATAGCCGCAGCTTCAATTTCTTCCAAAGTTAACTTTTTCTTGCTCATTGTAATAAAAATTCAAATAATTCTAACCTAAACAAAATAATAGAAATAAAATCATATAAATAAAATAAGAAAAAAAACCTGAAACTATAATCTTTTAAGCTCATTCTTTCATATATTTGAATTTAAGATATTCTACTACAGAACATAAATCTAAATAAAAAAGTTTATTGATAAATGACGAATTTAGCTGGCTATCAAACAAGATAGCCATGGCCACGCATGGAAGAATTTACACTAACTTTCGTGGTGTGCTTTGGCTATCATTTTTGGTAGCCAGGATGAAAATCTCCCCATGTGTTACAAAATGAGTCAGATTGAAAAATATTGTTTTTATATATAGTTTTATGTTGAAAAAAATACAAATTACACAAAAAAAAAGTTTGGCCCCGTGCTGAACATTTGCAATTTTGGCTTGGCAGTCAAAGTGCACATGTCCCACCATTCTGGCATGGCTTGTTCTTGCAAAGATCTGTTATTAAAAATAAATAAATCCAAATATCATTTCCCCCTTTTTATTCAGAAGTATCTCCCGATTAGAAATGTAAATACGTATATTCAAAATACCTGTTTCGCATTGGTTTCCTGTGTATGGGGATTTACAGGAGCAGTTATATCCGGTACTCGTCACGTTGCATTTTCCATCGTTCTTGCAAGGATTTGGATTGCATGGATCTGGGAAAACTGAAAGTAAGAAGGCTAGATGTATAATCGAGCGTGAAAAAGAAGAAAGTATTTATATGCTCTGTGGAAATCTTGAAAAAAAAAAAAGTCTTAAAGTGATTTTTGTTAAACTGATAAATTTTTCACAAAACGTTTCTGAGTATGGTTTCCCATCATTACTGTTAATGACTCAGAGAGTTAAGAGTTTAATTTTTAAGAGTTTCACATGTGTCTGCATTTTGGCATTTCTTCTTCTCGCAAACATCTAAGGATACAATAACTGGAAGGAGAAAGCGAGATAATGCAACTATTTGTAGTGCTGCGTGTTAGTTTGAGCTCCCAAAGTGTGTAACTTTAACTGCGTAAAACGTATGATCGTATGAATAAGTTTTATATCATTAGAGAGCCTAAAATGAGAGAAATTGATTGGTACAAGTGCCGATACAGTTGGACTAATCATCTGTAAGTCATTAGCGTTTCAATTATACATCTTGAATGCTTGAAGTTTCAACAGTGTTCTGCATTTGAAAGCCTGACTAACGCTTAGGTATGTGCTTCTAAACTGAAATTGATTGGACCCCATTGATGATATTATGTATAATTAATTTATATTAGATTTGTAGTACAAAAACAATACCTTTCATCTGATATAAGGTTTCTTTTTTACAAAATATCTAAAATATTGAATTTATGGTCAATTTAAAAACATTTTTTTAAATTTTTGTTTCATATTTGAATTTGTAGAAACCATTGTTACAAAATTCATGCAGAAGCTCAAAAATAGCACGTGCAAAATATTTTCATATGTCACCAATAAATAAATACAGCTATTTAACGTTATTAAAACTAATAATTCAATTAAAAAAATAAATAAATAAAATCTTACATAAGTAGTCATAAACAACTAAATCTTAAATTGAAATTGAAATTGAGTGGAAAAATAAAATTTGGATTTTATTTTAAGACTTGTTTTCAACTCTTATGTGTTTTTAACTAATTTCAATGGCTTCCACTACTCTATCAGTATCGGCCTCTGCACCCTCTTCAATTGCTTCTGAGAGAATTATTCCAGCTTTTATCTTTGATCCAACAGTTTCTAGAGCCAATAATTTAGGAAGAAGCTCTTTTATCTTAAAATATATAGGTGCAGAAAACGCTCATCATAGATTAAACAAGGCTGATCAAAAATTAATCATAGACGTCATTGAACTGGCACACAAGCTACTTGTCGAACAAGAACTTATTATTGCGAATCTACAAGGACAAATTGAAACATTACGAGAACACAACGACTCTCTCCAAAAAGTTATTTCAATCATAGAACTTCCCAATTCTAATCCCACAACTATTACCCCAGCTCCATATTGATCATACATCAGAAAAGCCAGAACCTCCCTTTACACTGGTGCAAAGAAAGAAAAGGAAACCCCGTCAGCATTTAACCTCAACAGAAAGCGTCCTTATAATAGTTTCAAAAGATCCAAATAGTACACCTAAAAATATACAACAACAATTGGCAACTCAGTTGAACCCGAAGAAGTTGAGGATTTCTATCAAGCAAATTCGGCCTACAAGATCAAAAGAATTATTAATCCGTTGTACTTCTAAAGAGTACGTCACAAAACTAAAAGAACCCATTTGATCGGATAAAACCATCTGTGATACGTTACAGTTAAGAGCACCAAAACCGTTGAAAGATTCCATAATTGTGTTTGGTGTATCATCTGAATTTACAGCGGACGACCTTATTTCAGCTTTTGAGACTCATTTACCTTCTGAAAAAGGAGGAGCAATTCACCCTAAAACTCAGATTCATCGTACGAATTCTAAGACCAATTGGATAATTAACTTGAATAGAAGCTATTTTATTAATTTAGGACAACAAGGACGAATTTACTTGGGATTTAATTCCTGCCCGTTTAGACGCTACGTTTGCTTGCTTCGCTGTTTCAACTGTCAAGGCCTAGGCCATCAGAGCCGCACCTGCGCAGAATCTCCTTCCTGTGTCCAGCGTGCTAAAGCACACGAAGTACCAATTTCTCATTGCCAGGAAATTCCGACGTGCATTAACTGTACGAACTCTAACCTA